CTCCTCCTGCGCCCAGCCTTGTCCATGTCTCCGGAAGCTACCGCACCTCGGATCCTTGGATGTCATGCAGACATGGTTTCAACCCTATAAACCTCAAATAGAGTGCAGGGCCGGGGCTTCTGGGTTCAGCTTTCGGAGCCTTGGCAAACTAGACTGTCTAGGCGCCCAATGTCCGGAACTGGCCACAGATCTTCCCAGTTGGTTCGCAATTGCACGCTGATTGGGCTGTTCTGTTAGCTTGTCGTAGGCAGTGTGCGCATTGGTGGAGGCGCTTCTGCCTCAGTCTTTCTCTGACACCAGGCAGCCCAGGCACAACAGACCATACATTGATCGATACAGGCGTGCTTGGGCTGGTTGGGCCTGACCACACGCAATGGAACGTCAGCATCTGGGTCGTTCTCAAAATTGTGGGCCCCCTTTTGGTTATGGATTATAATACTACGGCACCTTCCCTAAACCCCTAAACCCTTATTTGGGGGTACCAAAATGGGACCCTAATTTTGGGAACTACCCATTAACAGGGAGACCTGGAAGTTGACAAGTCAGGCTGCAGCTGCACCACAGACTTCAGGGTTTAGGGTTTACCACCCACGCCAACACTTCCAGTGCCGCCGCCTTGACTTCCAGAAGTATTTACAGGACAGACAACAGATATCTTCAGATCCAAGCCCTTGCAAGCTTAGATGTCTGGGTTTTTGCGGTGGTTTACGGGTAAGGGTTTCGCGTTTCCAGAGATTTTGGGAGAGGGCAGGGTCAGAGGAGTCTCATAAGGAGGCCGAAGAAGAGACATTCGCGGGCTTCGGATTTTGGTTTAGGGCTTCAGATCTCGCTTAGGGGAGCCTTTATCCCTTCAAGTGTTCCGTGATACATTTTTTCTTTTCCGCCAGCTTAAACGGCACACTTTGACATCTTCTTCCGTGGCTGAACTAGCTGCTGTTTCAGCAGCACATGTGTCCCAATACAGCTCGGCATCGCCCCAAAACATGCTTGATACCTCCAAGTTTCAGCCGGGAAACATGTCTCAATACCATTGCTTGATTCGCCGGACGATAGGCGCTCAATACTTTGAGACGTTGGCTTCCTTTCAAAGGCCTCGGAAGCCTCCAAACCTTCCAGCAATTATGGCGCTCGACGCCTGAAACTGAAAGTCACCATGGCCGCCCTCATCCTTCTTATTCTTGCTATTCTTGTTCTGGTTATTCCAGGACCCCCCTTGTACCCTTAATTGGGGATATATGGTCCCTAATAGTAGGTACTTAGACCCTAATAGAGGGTAGGAGAAGGGTGTAGGTTCTTATTTCAACTTTTTATGTTTTAGCAGCTGGGCTTCTGCTGGTACCACGCATATCTTGCGAAGCAGAAAGTTGTACTTCCATGGGACAATCATGTCTCATAGGTTACAAAAGCGTCGCCATGGATCACAGAGTCAATGCCTTTAGAGCACTTTGTCATTTTAGCCCAGGGGGATACTGCGGATGGAGGCAATCCTGCAACAACCTACGCAAGCACTGCAATCTCTGAGACTTGTAGCCAGCACGGATACGAATCAGGCTCCCTTCAAAACTATCCCAAGGTACTCTTGAACCTGGTGGTTGTAAGTAGATAGGTCGGGCAGATGGTGGCAAGCTACGAGTAGTCTGGTGGGTGACTTGTCTGGCTTCCAGTGACGTTAAAACATGGTGAAACTTGTTGGCAGTTGGTGATGATACAAACAAGATGAGAGGCTTAAAATACGCCAAAGGAAAACCCATCTACACTTCCATTTGGCCTCTGCACATATGCCCTTACAGATCATGTAGACTCGATCAGGACTTGTCTCGTTACTGATCACTCCCTCATGGTTACGCTTGAGATTCCCCTGCAGAAGGTGTTGGGACACATAGGCTTTGCCGAAACTTCTGCATATCGCCGTATCGCCCTCAACAGCCCAGGGGCGAATGCATATATATATATATCTCTCTCTCTCTCTCTATCTATCTATCTATCTATATATACACACACATATATATATATATTTTTGCCACCCCCCCCCCCCAAGACCCACCTTTTATGGAGTTGTACATGGATTTCGCAGTATTAGCTTAGGCTAAATGCTACCGCCTTTCTTAGGAACCCACGTTTGGGGGTATTAAACCAGTGTTGCAACATCATAAAGGCAAATAATTTCAATAAAGGATATTTGTAGGAGACTATAAGGAGCCTACAATCACAGAAATTTCCTGCAAATGCAACAACTTTAACAAGGGCCTTACATAAGGAAAAACAAAGCCAAAGATTTGAGACGTCGTCCTTAAAATTGCGACGCAGGTAAAATGTATCGGACATTTATCTTAAATATTGTCCATCTAGATATGTATATCATAAAAACTACTGAATGTATTAAGGTAATTTCGATTTCTATACAAAAAAAAGATCCCTTGGAGACTGGGGAGAAGGAGTATTACAAAATATTAGATGCCCTCATAATAAATGCCACTGGCAGCACCAAACCTTATTCCTACGAATGGAATAGAATTCTCCTTTTTTCTCTTTTCCACAATAAAGGTACAAGGGAGAAACAATTAGCTTCAGAGAGGTGGAAGCTCCAGTTCCTTGCAGGTATTTATTTTAGGAGAAGGAGCATACCAAACATTAAATACCCTCATATTAAATACCCTCACTCATATTGTAGCGAATCTTAGAACCACTGGCAGAACCAAACCTTTGTTCCCGTGAAAAGAAGAATTTTCTGTTTTCCACAATAGAGATACAAGAGAAATGCAATTCACTTGAGAGAGGTTGAAGCTCCAGTTCTTTGCCTGTATTTCGTCTGGCAGAAGGAGCATACCAAATACTAAATACCGTCATTTTGAATACCACTGGCAGAGCCAAACCTTTATCCCTATGATAAGAAGAGTTCTTTCTTTTCCACAATAAAGGTAAGAGAGAGAGAGATACAATTGACTTGTGAGAAGTGGAAGCTCCAGTTCCTTGCAGGTATTTCTTTTGGGAGAAGGGGCATACCAAGTATTAAATACACGCAAATTAAATACCAATGGCAGAACCAAACCTTTATTCCTACGAACGGAATAGAGTTCTCTCTTTTCCACTGAGAGATACAATTGACTTGAGAGAGGTGGAAGCTCCAGTTCCTTGCAGGCATTTCTTTTTGATCGCGCAGATGTTCAATAGAATGAGCTGGAGCTTGCATTCTTTCCTCCTATGGAGAACGTCTTACGAGTCTAACTCAGACATATCTTTTGCACATTTCAAAACACCTTACTTTTCCATAATGCGCTGTGGATAAGTCAATGTATAAAATCAAACCTATGTTTTTCAGAAAAAAATCCTTTTCTCTTGAAAGAAAATAGAGAAGACGAGAAAAATCGAAAATGACAAAACAGAAAAACTACAGTCCCGGGTCCCGTAGTCCGAACACATAGAAAAACATACTTTGGGGCAGCCTGTGGTATGGAGTCATGTTGTTTTTGTTTGTTTTTTTTTTTCAATTTGTTATGTTTTATGTGTTGTATCATTTTTTTGTTATTTGTTGTTGGTTTTTGTGTTTAAGGCTAACCAGTCTATGTACTCATTTTTTGTGTGTGTGTTTCTAGATTTTAAGATTTGTTGGTTTGTGTATCTTTCTTGTTTGTTTGTTTTCCATTTTTTAGCTCTAAAGAAAGACAAGAAATTAGGCGTCTTCACTGCGCTGGCAATTACTTTTGGAGTCAGGCGTGGGTTCCTGGGGGGGGGGGAACCATATACATATACGCACATACATATAAGTATATCCCTGTATAGTCATACATACATATACACTTTCATACACATCTCCCTGTACATACGAGGTCCCCGAAGCATAAACCCGAGGCCTGCAATGCCAAGGAGTACAATGCAGCGGCTTTCTGCATGCCTGGGCTGCTCTTAGCTATCTTGAGCTTTGGCCGTTAAGCATATTCTTTTGAGGCTAAGTGCCATTGTTGACATGAGTATCTAGGAGGTCGAGGTCACGGTTTGAAGCATACCGAGACCCTCCAATGTTGTAGCTCCTAAGAAGAAACCTAACCAGAAGTCATGCCAGACCTGAAAGGATCTACAGTACACGAGGGTCCAGTCAGACTTGCTCGGAAATAGAAGCGCCCAAAACACTACCAAACCTGAACGCGCAAACCTGAAGCCCTAAACTACACCACTGTAGTGACCTATATTCTACTATATACCCCTATTAAACCCCCTATATCACCGATTAGTGGTTTCCATTTTCTTTTCCAGTATGCCTATATAACTTCCCAGATGCACACTCTGGGCGGCAGCACGAAGACTCCTGCGATGCTTGAGCCTTCTGACGGCCCGAAGAAGCTGCAAACTTTTCCGAGACTCAAGGGTGCTTCAGGGAGGGAGAGTGGGGGCTGAATAATACAACAAGAAAGAATAGTTCCTCAATTACAACAATCCCCATATTCCTGCCCCCACCCTAACAGCTGGCCCTACTCCCCTACGATATTCCCTGCATGCAAGCCCTCACTCCCCCTTAAGCACAGCAAGTAAAACCCGCGTCGCCGTACGATTCAACCGACCCACAAACTCGAATGCTGGGCACAAACTGCTTTTAGGTTGCAAGAGAACAGGAAGTTAAGCAGGTCGTTGCAGGACTTGAGCCGTAAAAGCTGAGCCTCTGCGATTTCATTCGATGTGTTTTCCTTTCGAGGCCGGCGTATGAAAGCTTCTCTCACCGGTTGTTGCCCCTACATACTTCCAACAGTCCTTCAAAACTTTTCTACTAATCACTGTTATACACAAACTCCAATGAAAACCCAGTCCTTCAGTAGTCTCTACTTACTTACCAAAAGTGAGTGTATGCAAGCTTGTCAGGTCATTGCCTGTCACTCCGGCTCCTATTATCCCAAACAAACACATAAGCAACACATGACAGTCACACGACATGCGTCTCATAGAGTGCTTATGATGTCGTTTAGGGTTACGAAAATCCCCTCAGCCGTGAAGCCTAAACTGCGGGTCTCCTGTGTCATCAGTGACGGAGCCATCGGCAAATTTGAAGCACATCGTCTGAACCTGCTCCAGGTCCACTTCTCCGTTGTTGAGCTCCTGCTCCAACATACAATATTCCTTCTTGGTTTCGTGATAGGATAAGCCGAGTTAACCTCAAACTCGAGAACCGCTTGGAACAAAGAGAGGGGTCAGCAGGAAGGCGAGAAGCACAACTTCCATCCGGGCTCTGCAGGTCGCTCAGGAAGGAGACTGTCAAGCCAACCGTGGGCAAAAAGTGTGCAGACCATGTCAAGGACCGCAGTACCACTAAGAGCCACGAAATACTACGAAATGTCGGAATACTAGCCAACTTTTCAAAAATTGTGGAGGTAGCTTCTATTGTCGTTATCGTCCTGAAGCTTCCCGTCATCATTCAGCACGAACTCCAGCCTTCCGTGCTTGTGCCAGCAGCATCAAGTTACTGCTACTGAATCCCTATTTCATCCCCGTGACCACGGGCCTAATCCCCTACCATACTGCCTAAATTCACCTCCCCCCTTCCCTTAGACATCCGTAGGTCCGTAAGTCGAAGCAGTCCGCCCAGTCTCTGATGCTCTTTATGCAGTATGATGACTAATTAGCTAGTTGTAGACCTACGTAAGTATGTTGCGGAACACCAATATTATCACAAGGCAAGAATAGCTCGTTGTAAGGGACTATAGCGCATTCCCTGATTATAGCTTAGGCTTTTGCCTGTATAGAGCCTGCAAATACCCGGAATTCTGGCCTCTACACGCGCATATGCTGGGCATGTAGGCCATGATTCTGTGATGGAGAATGGGGACCTTGTTGAGGCTTGAATCCTTGAACAGACTCTGACCACCTGTGCTGAAATCCGCTTGACAACTATCTAGTCATGCATGACTTCAAGAACTTTTTAGAATTACGGGGCTCGTCCAAAGCACCCAAGGACAAATGAAGGATTGGCATCACGGGTAGGCAGGCACCCACGTCAACAACATTCCCCTAGAGGCAAAATTGGACTAGGACTTTTGTAGCGGTATAAGGAAACACCACATTTCCAACAGTGCCTCACGGAGACCCAGAACAAACCGCTCACCTGTCTCCGTCCGTGTCTGTCACCAGGAGATTTTGCACCAAGGGTGGCGAGTCACCTCGCCATTCGATGCCTGCTCGACTTGCCAAAGCATGAAGCCTTAGCTTTGCCACGGAGTAACATGGAGGTTGCCGAGCAGAAAAACACCCGTGGAGACCCTAGAGATGAAGGAACATAGCTGCTCTTGGAATGATATAGAAGCTTCTTTTGGTAAGCTGCCAAAGCTTGCCAGTCAGCTGAGCTTTGGACCGCTTTACTTTCTGTGAAAGCGACCTCCAAACCATAATCGCAAAACCGTAACCCTCACAGATACCCATAACTCTAGCCTTTGCCACGAATGACGGGTACGCAGGCTGCTATTGTGTGTACTCGCGAGGTCCACTTTGAAAACAGGAACTGAACATGTTCATGTGCAGGTCGTTCAAGGAGTCTTTGGGATGTCTCCCAGCCTTCGAACCGTAAGAGCTTTCGACTCCATCACTACAGGTGTGTTAGACCCAAGGCTTGGAAGCACAGCACGGCTTTAGCTCCTTGGACCAAGCAGCCCAATCGTCTTCTCAACCTGATACAGGCTGGATGGCAGTCAGCAGGGTCATCCAACATTATGCTAAGCCCCCCTGTCCAAGCCACTGAGCTTGACTGCGCAGGATTGTGAGTCGAATCGATTACTGGCCATAAGTTTGAACTAGCAAAAATACCTGCCTGTCATTCAGGCATTGAGGGGCATGTAGCATGCAAACCACCGTTTGGGCGAAGGTTGGGTGAGGTCGTCATTAACTTGCCGCCCACCCAACCCCCTCAGCTTGATGACTCTGCATACACGTCAAATGCCTTTGAGGGCCGCTCAGGTGCTTCGTGGGCAATGAGGAAATGGTATACAAAATGGGAAGATATATCTATCAGGATTACATAGAGACTACTACAAGGATCCATTCCATCATTCCTTGCTGAGCACAAGGTAGCTTGCTCACATCAAGAGTTTGCGGTATGCATTATGCATGCAACTCGAACACCCACGGGTTCAGTTGACTTGAGGCCATCTAACTCATGCTTAGGGGAAATGTCGGAAGGGATATCTGTAATGCAATAGACGGCAGAATTGGGTAGCTTCCCGAAAAAGGGGGACCCCAATATAGACCCCAAAATGCTGTAGTCCTTATACGAAAAGGTACCCCTATTATAAGGAAGCGCCCATTGGATTATACAGTAGCAAGCTGTGGGCCAATATGAGCGTCTAGCTTCTTTACTCATTCAAGGACCTAAGGCGTCTGCGCTTTGTGCACTTGAAAGGGATACCCTGACAGTCCAATACCCCTAAGCCAAGAAACGCAGCTCAAATGGTACCAGGATCCCTGATACGGTTCAAGGTACACTGCTTGATTACGAGGTGTTGGGCTCCCCGAAGCTGCCAAAGCCACTCTTTAGCCTAATTCTCATAACGCTATAGTTGTGGCCGTTGATTCCTGACTGAGAGATGATGACACAGCATTCAAACACGATTTGTCCTGTTGTGTTGGGGATTATATGGTGAACCCTTTTGGGGAACAACCTTAAGGTTGCAGCCCAAGAAGGCTTAAGTTTGGTATGTAATACGGACCTTCCCAGCGCCAGGGAGGGATGGGGTGCAGGGGTGTGGTTCAGGAAAGGGGAGGAGGTTGAAGAGGAAGGGCACCGTCTCATGTAGCCCAGCTGGGCCTTATCCAGCTCCTGGAGTTCGAAGTGCCCCTTTTCATCGCTGATGCTGCCAGTGGCGGCACTGTACCTTTCGCCAGGCTATTGTGATATCGTGGGGGTTTCAAGAAGTTGGTGCAGTTGTTGTCCAGAAACTCAAGAACATGCATACCATACTGGGGTCTGGATTGGCGCCCTGTCTACCATGCGCAGCAGAACCACCTCATTATTGGACGCTTTCATGGCGTTCACTGCCCGCCCAAACCAAGAAATGAACCGAATGAAGTGCGATAACTGATACGGTGCTGGACTCCTTGTACGAGTCTCCAAAGTCCATTATTTGCTAAGTACCAGCACGTAAATCCGCGCTGTGGTTCATTCACAAGGATTACAAGTATACACAGGGTCATATAAGGATAATTGGGGTACCTCAGGGACGCTGCGCTAGAGTGTGGAAAGGCTAGAGTTTGTAGAGCTCGAGCTTTGGGGTTTCGACAGCTAAAGTCTAGGACTCATCGGCCCGCTCTCCCTACGAACCACAAGTACTTACGTCCAGGATGCTCCAGCCACTGCACGTGCTCAAGCTCCAGTTTGCCGTTGACATACCTAGGAACTCTAAACAGAAACTGGGCATAAGCTTTCTCAGGGACTACCTGCCCCGTGTCTTTGGTTCCTGGTGATTTTGGGAGTGGAACACTATCAACGCCCCTCTAGCACCCATAAGTTCAAGAGGGGGCTGTCTGAGGTTGCATGCTAAGCTGAAAAAGACTACAAAGTCCAGGCGTTGACGTGCAAGTACCTCAAAAAAAAGCTGGTCACTTGACATGTACATTCAGCGAATGTAGTATGTACTATGAGTGGGTCATGCAGGGCGGTGAAAAACACAAGGTATCATGGTACTACCTACTTAGTGCCCACAGGGGCTTTGCAAGAAGAACGCAAGGCCTGTGTACGGTCCCTACCTTCTGATTCCCAGGAAGTGGCTGCGGGAAATCTCAAATGGGAGGTTTCAAAAACTAGCAGGTCCTAAGGGACCCTATTGACATGTCATGGAATGTCCCAAGGATTAATGTTGGGTAACATTTTTTTGAAAGGGGACGGGACAAAACGATAGAGCGAGCTGTGCTCCGTGACGGAGTTATCACAAGACAGGAACAGAATAGGGAGAAGCTCTCAACTGGAACACTACCCAAAACACAAAAACTAAGCAAAATTGAGCAAAATAATGAAAGAAGCCAGCCTGCCTGGGATAAAGGACAGTCAACTGAAACATGAGATGCGAACCCGGATGAGAAAGGCTGAGCATGGCTTGTCCATGGCACTTGCTAAGCGCCACTCTAAACCCTCAATTCAGAACCTGCCGGAGCTCGTCAAGCTAGACCTCCCAAATAACAATAAAGTGAATGCTTTAAACCCGAAGATCATCAGTACAAAGGTAATTGTTGCAGGTCATTGTAGGTGTGTTGGAAGTCAAAATAAACGTCCAAGTATCTGAAATTTGTGAAAGTTGGAATACAATACAATGGGTTCCTGCTCGGGCCCCTAGCCCTGATATCCTAAGCCTACTGTACACAGCCTTGCTCCAAGTGGTGGTATGCTAATGGTCCCTATATGACCCCTATATAGCCCCAAGTGGGGCTGCGCCGAAGAGCTCCTTGAGCTTGCCGTCGGCGATGATGAAATGTATGCAGTCGCCTTACTCGTGGCTACGTAGTAAGGGCTGAAGGAGTGAAAGCGAAACGAAAGCTTCTACCTAGACAATTTAAGGCTTAAAGTGGTTACATAAAGTGGTTACATAGTATGGACTGAAGCAAGGGGATGGTATTAAATCGATGCAATGGCAAATGGGAGCTACGAGTTCATGAACGGTCTCGGGTTTCAAGTGTTAGTATGGAGTGAACAAATTGGGTATGTATCCGCATAGGTGGAACGGTGGAGATTAATATTGGGGACTCTGTAGGGACTACAGAAGGGATCCAGTCGGCCACTACTGACCATGAGCAAGGCACCATCTTTGTCCAGCAGATCCATTTCGCTCTTGCGCGGCGGCCATATACACAGGGCACACTCGTGAAGCTCGAGCAGCTACAGCTTCAGGCTGCAGAGTTTGCATGTGGGAAGTTATCAAGAGCCTGCAAAACCCTAAGTACCTCATACCTTGGTACAGTTAGGTCATGCAGGGTTTTACTGTTCATCATACACATGCAAGATCTTTGTGGGACACCCCCCATAAGCTCTAAGAGGCTCCCAGTGCATCCCAAGAGTCGCAGGGGTTCCTGTTTTGAGATCAAGCCTCGTGACGAAAAGGAGCATCTGAAGTGTGAAGCCCCTCGGGTCAATGAAGACCCCATCCATTCAGCCGCGTTGTTAGCTTTGGCATCCTGTGTAATGAGGATAACTAGGATAATCGTATTTGAGGGGGCAAATAAGAAAACAATGACGCTAAGAGAACATGCCATACACCCCTCATGCGACGACCTACAGAACTCAATGCTAATGAGCCCACGGGACTCAGGCCTTGCAAGCCCTGAAGTTTACGTAGGGTTCTCAGGATTCTCAAGACTCCTTGATTGCGTAGACCCCTAAAAACTGCGGGATATACAATAACAGGTTTTCGACATTCTAGTATCATTATGGGTATATTTCCTAATTAAGGCCTACCAGGCTCTCTGGGTTCAAGGTCACGCGGACCCGCTTGCCGAATGGGTTCTGATAGCCCATCCTGGATAGCGTTTACTGGGCCCGCAAAGTGACCGTGCCTTTTGCTGAAGGGCTTTCCCTTGATCCGAAGTGTGCAGGACCGTTTAGCGTACGTGGATCAGGGCCAATGTGCTTCCACTCAGCATAGTGAGCGTAATCATTGCGGCCGACATGCCTTGAATCCCAGAGTCCATTCCTGCCCTCCTTCTCTCACTCCCTCCCGACTCCCGACTCCCGGCCGCAGTGCAGCCACGATGGTGCTCGCGATGCGTTCCCTGGTCGCCTCGGAAGCTTCACAGTGTATGCAGATGATGAAGACTTGTAGAGGGTCTCCCTCTTTGGGCTCCCCGGTCCCCGGGGCACAAACAACCACTTTGGTGACTATGCCTAGATCCATCTTCCAAAAACTATTCGTTGTAACTCATCTATCCGAAATTGTAAGGAGTAAGGCTCATTATTCTGGGGATTTGGGAGGTCTACCTGGACCCTGCATGAACTACCTGACCACGGTCCCTCGTGACATCAACTGCCACAAAGCTGCTTCCAGGAAGCCGAAGCGTCCGCAATCACTGAACCTCCCAGGTGTGGGTTCCGGGTTGAAGGTTGGAGGTTATAGGTTTAAGGCGGAGGTTTCAGGGTAAAGGGCTTAGGGTTAAAGGTTTGGGGTTTAGGGCTTACCTGGGCCTCTGAGATTCTCAAATGCCTAGCACCATTGCCTTTGATACTGGCATATGAACCATAACTTGGGGCAAGGTCGGGTGGGGTCGCCATAGCTTGCCCTGAATGTAATAATATGAGCCATAATCTAAATTCCTAGTATCCCCCTTAAGTAATGGTTCTAGACAGTCCCCCATATAGTCCCCTATATGGTCCCCTAAATGACCCCCTTTCAGGAGTGTAGCTCACAGCTCGTTCGAATGAACAAGCTGTCATGCACTTAGTTTTACACCGCGGCTTCAACTGCAACGCCTGTAAGTATGAATTTGTGATCATCGCTTTTGCTGTTACCTCGCCCGTAGCTTCATCCTTTGTATGGGGAGCCAAGGAATGCAAGTTCCCAGCCCAAAAAGCGCCTGCCTGAAAGCGTGGATTGCCCGGGCCAGGTTCGGGTAGCGTATCCGAACTCCAGGCAGCGCCAGGATGGCGTCATCTGACGGTTTATTCTCAGGATAGGGCACACTAGAGACCCCAAGGAAAGAAACCGCGAGTTTACAGGGGGTATCTATCATGGGGCGATAATTTCCACATCCCCAATTTAACGTATGTCTCTTGATGAGGTGGTTTGAATGTGGAATTCTTTCATTCCGCACTCCGCACCAGGTTTTCATGCCAGGTGTTTGTCATCAATGGTTTATGCGGTGATTTTTTTCATCGTTGTCCGTTTGCGATTCGCAGCGAAGGCAGACATCAGGGTCCAAAGTCCATGTCAAGAGAAGGGCGCGCAAGAAGAGCCGATGTGTCACTGAAGCCGCTTCACGCACAAGAGCCAGTGTCAGCTACCTAGTGTGACCGGAGCTCAAAAGCCGGTGCGCCGCCTGCCCGTGCAACAAAACAAGCAGCCTGGTGAATATTGGTCAACTCAGGTTATGTAGGCATATTGCGAGATACTACTGACATCTAGAACTGTAATTAGAACAGACTATATGATATCACCTGCACATAAGTGGGGCTTCTCTCTACCTAGACTCACGGTGAGGCTGTGCGGTTCACAGCGGTAACCAGTGAATTTAGTCCTCCACGCAAATCAGACCTCCATGTTACCATTCTTAGTACTCTTGCGCGCTTATTCATACGATTGCTATAACATCACAGCAAGTAAGTGAGTAGAAGTACTACTGTGACTTTGACAATTACTCTTCCTATAACTATTACTATTGCTAGTAAACTTCTGAAGCTGAAGCACGCCTTGCCTTGACAACCTCTCGTGTGCTATTTACATGCACTGAGAGTTGGTCAGACTGCTCGCATCCTTTGGGCTTGGAACATTACGGCTTGAGGGAAGACCGAGCCTATCTGTTGTACGAAGCCATCTTTCTCGACTTCTGCATCCGGCGCGGCAATCAGCATCTTCTGCCTCGGTCTCAATTCAAGTTGATTCTGAAGGCCCTTTAAAAAGACACAAAACATACCACCCAGAACGACTCCGCCAAAGTGAATTTGAAGGGAAACCAGACAGTCTGCCCTGTGTGGGGTGGGGGAACAAAACCCACGTGGTGACTATACCTCCACCTCGGAAAGAATTCCAAAACTAACCCATGTACGCAACACTCTGAGGTCCCCTTTAAGGAGTTTAGACTTTAACTCATATAACCCCAAAATATATACAATCCCTATAGAACCCATTATAGGACAGTTTAATAGAATATATACTATAATATATCACATTATACTATAATATCCTATTCCAATGTGTGTGCACATGGTGACTCTGCGGCTTGACGGCTGCTCTTTGCGACCGAGGCGTGCCGGGATGTTCCCAAGCCTTGCCAGGATGAACCGGTTACGAGGTTTCTGGCTCTTTTGTGAGATATTCTCAAAGTTTCATATTCCTTCTGGGCATGGGTGATTATGCAAAAGCTCTATATCCAACAATGACGCAGAGTTGCATAGGGTCTTTCGGGAGATGTAAGGATATTAGGGGTAGACTACGATTATGGCTTCCTCAGCTAGAGCTGAAACACCGATGAGCGGGCACGCGCTACACCGTTTACAGCCGCCCCCAGGTAACTGATTCGAATTTTGGACTTCTCGAAATGATGAGCCCATATGGACACCCAACGGATATAGAGATCATACGCCAAGTTTGTACGATGCCCCATAAACGGATTACAGAGAGATTGATCTCAAAAAACCTCCCAATCAAGAGCGCGCGTCTCCATCACAGGGAATATCTACAGGAAGGGATTGTTCCTGTTCAGAAAGCCAGACATGCAAAATCGTGTCAACCGCTTCCAAGTGGCCACACGTTGCAGTGGAGTTGCGCGCCCGGTCCTTCTGCGGATTCTCATGCTAACCTTCACCTAGACCTCCGAAGTGCCTAAAACAATGGCCTTTAACCCCCACAATAATAGATGCCCTCAACCATGAGGCCTGCATTATGGGTTTTGGCAGATCAAGCCTAAGGCTGTCCCTTGCTATCCTTGTTATATTGGGGGTTATAATCAGAATACTGGAAAAGAACATGGAAACTAATATACTATTATAGGGATAGTGGAAAGGAACATGGAAGTTTCCTGGTTGATTACCTCCATCACGCGCTTGCACTTCGGGGCTCCTGGCGCCCAAAACTAATCTGGAACCACCAACTAAAAGGCCATTTGGGAAGCACAACCCCAGATCGACCAGTTGGTCGCTGTCCTGCGCAGTAAGGGATTGCCTCAGAGCACCTGACATGGGGCTTTCTCAACGAAAAAGATTGCATCAGGGATACATCTGCAATCCGATGGGCTATATTAGAGTTACATTGGGGTTTTTCTTATAATTGGGGTTTATATGGAATATCTGGATAATGGAAAACAGAGTGGAAACTACTATAGCATAATAGGTATATATAGAGGAAGTCCCAGGGATACAGAAGGACTTTAAATTGATTCTGGGGATCTCCCTTCGGCACTGACATTGAACCAAGCTCCAGGTTGCAAGCTCTTTGGAAGGTTCGTCTAGGGCGTACTCAGTACTCTCACCCAAACTAGCATGAACCCCAAAATGGCGCAAGTCTCTTCTTGTGGATATCTGGGGGCTTCTCAAACTGGGCCCTGGGTGACCATGAGGGAAGCACAAAGCGACTATGGAGATCGCTCTTCAGGATCATCTGTGGGTACTCTTGAGAAGCTCCAATCTCCAAGAGCACATCCAGCAGTGTAGTTACCAGTTACCAGCTGGGTACCCTTCAAGAAGGCCTACGTAGACATCACATAGCAACATTACCCAAGCCTTGTATGAGCCTCATATTGAGGTGCCCACATGGCAGCTAACTAACTGGAAGCTTTCTCGAAATTGCTCATGATCCTGGACACGTTGAGGCGTGTCTTCTTCAATGATGCCCTGAATTGCAAGCCTCAAGACCCAACCCTGAAACTACAACATTACACCCTGAGCTCTAAGCCCGTGAAATCCTGAAACCCTCAGCCAGAACACCAAAACCCCTGAACCTCTCAACAAAACACCTTAGACCCTTAAAACCTAAACCCTGCGTGTCCCGATATGCCTCAATAGAAATCACCCCCCACCCCCATGTATGTATGTTGGTGTATGTCTACTCATGTGATAATTGATGTGCATGATTTTCCAGGAGCTTCGTAGGTTCAGACAAGAAGCCGAAGCGGCTCCACATCTAGCCCGCTGCCTGCATCGGTCATGCTGTAGGAAGAGAGAAAAAGAGAGAGAGAGAGAGAGAGAGAGAGGAGAGAGAGGAGAGAGAGGAGAGAAAGAGAGAGAGGGAGAGAGAGCAGAAAGGGATAGGGATGTGTACGTGTGTGTGTATATATATATATACATATGGGCATATATCGTCCCCCCAAATATACGTATGTATATATATATATATGATTGTATATGTAT